CATATTACAAACAAAACCACGTAGTAACCTTTTTAGTATTCACATCCTTCCAGAAACTCAACCCTGGGGGTCTGTACCCCACCTGGAGCACCATGTCCAGCCCTGGAGATCCCAACCTGTGGGAGTGAGTCCAGAGGAGGCCACGGAGATGCTGCCAGGGCTGGAGCCCCTCTGCTCTGGAGCCAGGCTGGGACAGCTGGGGGGGGTTCAGCTGGAGAAGAGAAGGCTCCAGGGAGACCTGAGAGCCCCTTGCAGGGCCTAAAGGGGCTCCAGGAGAGCTGGAGAGGGACTGGGGACAAGGGATGGAGGGACAGGACACAGGGAATGGCTTCCTACTGCCAGAGGGCAGGGAGAGATGGCATAGTGGGAAGGAATTCTTGGCTGGGAGGGTGGTGAGAGGTTGGGATGGAATTCCCAGAGCAGCTGTGGCTGCCCCTGGATCCCTGGGAGTGCCCAAGCCCAGGTTGGACGGGGCTTGGAGCAACCTGGGCTGGTGGAAGGTGTCCCTGCCCATGGCAGGGGGTGGGATGGGATGAACTTTAATGTCCCTTCCCACCCAAACCAGCCTGGGATTCTGTTTATCAGAGGACCTGTAATTGGTAAATGCCAGTGAAACCAGATTCCTACAGTTTCTGACTTTTGCCCCTGGACACAACCCCGTTCAGAGGGCACTCACTGTCCCACTGCTCCCCCTCTGAACACTCTCCAACCATGTCCATTTGTGACCCTGCAATGTAAGGAAAACCCACTGAAATTCAGAGATTTCTTTAATGAATTAACAGTGCCCTATGCTTGGTAAAAGTTATTTATTAGTAGTTGTTAGTGCTATTAGTTAGTAGTAGTGATTTATGGACACTGGGAAGGAATCAGCAATACTAACCAATTCTAACCAATGCCCTGACAATTTCTAGTGCATTTGGTGGGTCATTTTGAAGTTCAACACGTTTTTTTCTCTCCTCACCCTCCCAAATGCTCTGTCACTGTAAATACCATTTAGCACATGCTGTTCTGTGCTGTTCTCTCCTACACTCAGCTTCTCACAGGGTCAGACTGGGGGGGTGGGGGAGGTGGG